CAAGATATAAAACAGTATGATTTGAATTAGTTTCAATAAATATTAATGAACTTGGTTATAAAATTTACATAAGATTAATGATATCGTAAAAATAATAAATCTACGGATTCTATTACATATTTTCAACTTAACCGCATCCTGAAATCATATAATTCATTTTAGGATTATAGAAGATTGAATCATAATAAATTTCATAACCTGAAAAATGTTAAATATATACGAATTCAAAATAAATAGTTTACTTAATAGGTAATTCTAGTTTTATTTCTAATAGACTGAATCCATAGAATGTTTGAATTTCAATTGCCTAAAAATAAGAGATAAATAAATATTAAACATTAATCAATTTAATTAAAGGGCAGGCATAAAGACCTTAAATTAAAATATTTTAGATGACAACTTTACAATTTGATAATTATATCAAAGCATTAGATGTTCCAGTTAGATCTTAAATTTCAGATTAACTAATCATTCCAGTCTTATCAAAGTACTTAATCCAAATATCTTCATATTATGATATTTTGATATTTCTAATAATTACTGTATTTAAATTTATATCATATGATGAAAATTATAAATTGATAATTGGATTCTTTAATGATATTGTATTAATAATTTAAATATCTTCAATTCTTACTTAATTCTTTTATAATGAAGGAATTATTGTAAAAATTGAAGGAGCCATTCTATTGAATATATTTTAAAATACTGCATTATAGATTTATAAATTAAGTAAACTATTAGAAGAATAAATAGTAATACAACCTGTACTATCAACTATTTAAGATAAATCATATTCTAATGATTTTATTGTTAAATTTATGAATGAAATATTTCCATCTCCTTAAGTTTTAATTTCAAATACAGAACTTTTTAATCCTATTATATCTTCAAATGAACAATTAAAACAGGAAAAACTTGATGCAGATATTAAACCACCTCCACCTTTACTTTTGATTTTAAAAATTTATTAAATTATTAAATTGATTTAATCCTAATCATATTCATCTATATCAATTGAAAAATCATAATAAGACATCCATAATTCAAAAGGTATTACATTATGTTTTGAAATACTATAATTTGTTAATTATATAATTTCAGATTTCAAAGATATAAATGAATTTGAAGAATTAGTTACTGCATTAGACTAACAAATAAAATTATTAATCTCAATTAATCCTCCAATAGATAATATCTAAATTAAACTTGTTGAAGATTCAGATGGATCCAAAATATACAGATGTAAGAAATTTCTTAAAAAAACAATATTTTCCAATTTTATGTGAGATTAATTTTCAGAATAAATAGTAATAAGTGATGAAATACTGGATTATAACTATTGCAACAACAAGTTTCCTATAAACTGCAAATCCATCAATTTCAAAATATTGTTTTAATTAGTTAAACTATTTCTGTTTGAGGATATCTCTATTAATGAATTATCAATACTGAATTATTAAATTACTTTAATGTTTTAAATTATAATAATATTGAATCCATTAATTAAAAAGAGTTAATTTTGAATATAAGTGTATTCGGAACAATTTAAACTAAAACTCACTTTATAATCGATTTCAAGATTTTCATAAACTATATTTGAAGCATAAATTTTTTAGATTTCAAAAAGATAGAATATACGTAAGTTATTTGAATTAATAATCTAAATGTTCTCAATATCTAGTTGGAAGCAATGTATATTAAATAAGTTGATTTATTGTTATTAATTAACACCTCTTTAATTTTATGAAATATCAAAGGATATTAATTAAACATATATATTCTAATTTGATAAAGTTGATTCTATATTTAATAAATTAGAGTTTGTGAGATCATTTTTATAAACTTAATAATTTTCAATTTAACAAACAAGTTTATTTTGAAAATCAATCTAAATAGCAGCCATAAAATAAGAATCAATAAAATTATTATTATTTAATTAAGTCTTTAGCAAAGTTATATTTGAACTAAATTTTATAATAGTTGACATTTCAATTAAATTTTATTAAAAATTAAAGTTAATTATCCAAATTTGGAAATTATAAGTGCTATTCAAAAAATAGGATTAATAAAGGTTATTAGATGTGAAATTTATAGTATTGACTTCAAATTCACCAACATAAATTAAATTATTTAAAAAAGTAATAAATGACGAATTTACAAATTAACATGAATCAATCACTAATTAATCAATTTAAATCTTAATTTTATTGTTAAAAATTTATAAGAATTATGTATTAGTAAAATTACACTATTTCAAAATCATTTTCTCAATTTTGAATACTCCTTATTACTATTTTTATTAAAAACTAAATAATGAAGAATTTTTCAGATTTGAATCAATTATTAATATATTCTTCAAAGTTATATCTCCAAATATATCTGAATTTAAAATAGGATTAACATTTGAAATTGAACTCTATTATATTACAATGTTATTTAATAATATATTTACTTATTAATTTTTATTTTCAAATTAAAAATGATCTTAATTTTTAAATTAGAAATGTGCATCATTTATTTCTATAAAATCAAAACCTGATACAATAAAAGTTTTAAAATTATTTTCATAAAGATTCAATTTGAGCTTAAGAAATCTTAAACTAAAAATTTCTGATTTCAATAAAGATGTTTAAATAAAATCTTTATAAGACTCATCATCTTTCTTTTGATCAATTTTAATTTATAAATTACTGAGCCCAATTTAGTTACTATACTATATATTAACTTTTGAATCAATATCAATATAATTATCTTAGCTAGATAGTTCTAACTTAAATTCTTAAATGCAATTTATAGTATAACAATATTTAGCAATAAAAAAGTAAGGATCGATAATTACATTTGGATCTGAAACTTTTCGGGTACATTTATTTGTATATTTTCTGTTTATTCCATTTATCTTAAAGTTTGGATTTAGTTACTAAAAATAATTAACTTATCTTACATAAATTTCTGTTTCGGATCTTCTTTCACAAACATCACACAATTCAGGACATTCTATACATTAGCCATCTGTTTCACTACGAATTGGTTATTCGTAGTAATTTTATGGACATTTAATACAATAAAAATTGTCAGAATTTATAGATAAAGCACATTTCAAACAATCAGAAGTACAATACTTTATACATACTTATTAATCATTTTATTTGTATCCTTCTTTACATTCAACTTAAAATTATATAACAGTCTAGTCATTATACGGCCTTTAATAATAATATTATTTTGGTAAAAATTTCATCATAAAACTTTATACTCTTTAAACCCAAGCATCTTATAAATAATAATCTCCTTCAATTACAATTTTTGCATTAACAGCAGTATTTGGATAACAACTTCCCAATCTGTTAGAACTAGTAAATCCACTTTAACAAATTATGCATTTTATGGAAGACTAAGGAGTGAAAATACATTATAAACACTTTGAGATAAACTTATCACAATTAATAATTTCTGGTGCTATACTAAAATCAGTGGATGATAAAGTGCATATCTCTTAATTTTATAAATTAATAAATGACCTTATACAATTAGGTAAAGATGGCTATTTGTAAATGCATTTTCCAATATTAAAATCAAAATTAAAATTATCTTCACAAAGTGCACATCCAATAGCTAGATATTCATCTTAATCAAATTTATCAAAATTTGCATATAAAGTGCATTTAGAGAGATCATTTTTATTATATTCAAAACAATATTTGCAATTTTAAAGATTACATAATTTACATTCTCCAATAGAATTTCTATAATAAGGAGTTAAGCATTCATTATTTTTTTCAAAATAAGAATTCAATGTACAAATTCCATTAACCAATATCCAAGGCTTTTCACAAATAGTACATTGAAAATCTTTTATACCAATAGAACAAGTAATGCATCCTAAAATATTACATTCATAACAAATATTAAAGTCAAATGTTCCATAAAAATAACTTTTGCTAAGTTAACAAAATGATTTAAATGTTTAAATTAATAAATTAAAGTCTTGATATATACTATCAATATTCTATAAGAATTATTAATTACAATATCTACACATTTAAGATTCTAATCCATCAAATACATAGTATA